ATTCAACCGCAAGGGGGCCTGCTAGATGGTGGAAGTGGTCTTCTGGAGTAATGTGCTCAACGAACCACTGCGCCCCAGTAATCGGCAAGCTTCCAGTGAACACATTTGCACAGGGCCATCGAATTTTGATGCAACGCGACTGCTACTATTGCCCACGCTGCCTTGCTCATTGAAGAAGTGGAACCAGTGCAACCGCAAGCGACAAAAATCATGGTTTGAACCAAGCTTCACGTTCATCCATTCAACGGCTAGGATTCCTGCTAGTTGGTGGAGGTGGTCGAGTGCGGGAGTAACGTGCTCAACTCACCTCTCCGCTCAAGTAATCCCTAAGCTTCCAGTGGGTAAAGATCGAAGAGGACATTTATACAGGGACCATCGACATGTGATGCAACACAACTGCCAGGATTTCCTCGCCATGCGCACGCAGTCGCTGCTCAGTCCGCCTTTGTTTTCGCGTACTTGCATTTGACCAACTTCTACTGCGCGCGTTCCCATCCGACCACTGGTCACACAACCATGGGGGGGAAGTGGAAACGATGGGAGCTGGAAAGGCTGTGTGCCTGGGTGGCGGAACAAGAGAAGAAAGGCACCAAATGGTCGGAGAGAGAGAAAGAGTGGAGAAAAGCGCATGGTACCCCGAGATCGGCTGCGGCACTCCGTGCACAATTCCTGCGCTTGGTCCATGGCTGGATGCCGCAGTGCATGACCGACCACGCGCAGCCCCTGGACCCAAGTGGCCAGCAATCAACGACATCCCCTCCATCGCAGCAGAGATTGTGGCGACTCCGAAGGAAATACGCCGTGTATCTCACGCGGACACCCCGAAAACCGCGCCGCTACCGAGTGAATCGGTGTGGCAGTGTCATCAGGTCCTCGCCGTCGCCGCCGCGAAGCACCTCCTCACCGGATCCAGCCCCGCCAGTACAGAACGCGGAGCCGACAGAAAACGTCGCAAGGTGCCTCAAGCAGCCCGAGGCAAGGGTCCCAGAGGCCATGGAAAGCGGGGATTGGTCCAGTGACTATATATCGAGATTACAGTCCTGTCTCGAACTCTGTAAGTGATGACGGTTCCTACTGTAAGATGAAGCTCTTGGCTTACACAGTCAGATATATCCTACCGGCTACCGAAAGTACCGACAAAGGACATCGTCATGGCAATCCGGGGGCACTCCGGTCTCAACAATATCCCCGCCGCCAGTTCATGACAAAACGGAGAGTACGCTCGCAATGGACGGGATATTGCGCGCCCCTGCGCTGAGAGCGATTCATATAGGCTGTTCGGGCTTCCTCGGGATATGGCGAAAGTCCAGCATTGATAAGAATAGGCACTCTTTTTTACGTTGCTATTAGTATTCGTTATCGCGACGGCCCTATCATTTTGTAGACCCCACCGCAGTCGTCGAAAGCAGAAGATTTCCCAGGCGTACCGATAGCACAGCCGCACGAGTAGTAGGCGAAGCAACTGCGATGTCCTGAAGGACAGGGTGTCTGTTTGGAGCCCCATCCTATTATCTACTCGTGCGAACTGTTGGTCGAACTTTTGAAGGGCCTGTGCATTGCCAGTAGATGTCACAAACAGCTAGGGCTATCGTATGAGAGCCAAACCGTAGTCCAACTGTTACGGTAACCGGACGTTTGGGGAAGACGAAGCGATCACGGATGCAGATATAAACATAAAAGCCCATCAACACCGGCGTCATTGTCGCTGTAACCTTCCGCAGCCACGCGAGTCATTGTGGGACAGGCTCCGTCATATAGACATCGACCAATGGCACCGTGGCTGTCCCTAGAGAAGGAGCCGGGGGGCTGGACCGTGGTTGACCATAATGGGCTCCGAGAAATAGTGGATGCGATGGACCAGCCCCGAGAGCAGTATCCGTCCGTGCAGCTTTTCGTGGGAGGAAACACCAAGACACAGGCGCTCCGGACGCTGTATCCGTACAATAACTTCGGCCGATCCCACCGACTCGGGCTGGCTCGGGTTCACCTATCCGAGCTTCCACGGCCTGAGCCGGTCGTGATCGTTGAGAGTGGTATCCAGTCCCACTCGGAAGCGTGGCCGCGAAGAGCGGCCCTCAAACAACAGCACCACATCCGCCGGAGTTACGACCGGTCGCATGACGAAGTCCGCGACCTGCTATATCGGCAGGTGTTACTGCCGTTGGCCCATACGGTGTGTTTCTTCCCGGAAGACCTCGCCAGCTCGAACAGTGTGGAGGTCATCCAACAACTGCTCGTGGCCTGGCAGGTGCCCCCGCCGGCAGGGGAAGCCGGAGGGGCCACACTCCATCCACACATGATGGTGGTGTTAACGAAGGGTCCGGAGCCACGGGTGTCGCGCGAGCGCATCGAACGTGATTTATCCGCCGCTATCGTCCCGCACATAGCCGCCGCTGTGACTGTCGTCGACCTGCGTGATCGCAGCGGGCTATCGCGCGTCAGTCGATTCCAACCGCTGAAGCAAGCCCTGGCCGGGCAGCAAGAGGCAGCACGCACCATGCGCGCGGCAGCCCGTCTCCTGTTCTCGGCCACGCACCTGGAGGCGATCGCCAGGCGCTC